AGTTTCGCTTTCACAACGAAAACACAGTGGCCTAGCGTGAGGGGAAGCCCCGGCTTAGTGTGCACTGAGGCCGGGATAGAGTGAGCTGAGGTGGCAGAGTCGAGAACGGCGCGGCTGGCGGATGCGACGAATGAGCGGCAGCCACATGTGACGGACCCCGGGCTGGACTCCGCTTTGTCCACGGTGAAAGTTGATGTATTCCCTCAGCGACCAGCACGGATCAGCTCTAGGCATGACGAAGTGGATATCGTCCTCTTTTGGAAGACCAAACAAAGTAGTTTCGCTTTCACAACGAAGCACACAGCGTACATGGCTGCAGCGTCAACAATACTACAGCGAGAATAAAAGTTACGCCTTCTCTCTTTGCGTGAACATTTGGGCGGCATTATGCAAATCTTCCCACATCGTGACGTAGACATGTGGGGGCGTGTTAGAACGAGCCGTTTTAGGTAGGGGTGGCAGACTCTGAACTTTTATAAAGTATATCTCTTTGGATTTGAGACTTTAGTCTTTGCAACTTTACAGATCTTTTTTTATGCACCAAGAGCTTGTAACCCTCCAAAGAGAAAGGAAAAATTGAAATCGCATCATATGACCCCTTTAAACCGCACAATTTCCAAAATCATTTTTCAGTGATTGTACAGTGCAATAACTTTTATACTAACTATTGACCTGTTTGTAAAATTATCTTATCAGTAGGAGTCAGGAGTATACTAGGTAATTTAGGACAAACATAATAGCCTAAATATATATATTTTTTTCAACCCAAAGCTAAAAGTTTTTTTTTTTTCCCCCCAAAGTATTGTTACCTGATGCCTTTGGTTAGCATAATGATTAGCATCCTTCTTATATCAGGTTTGTGATAAACCTCCTACCCTAGGCTCTTTAAATTGACTCTTAACATCTCAACAAGCTCTTTCTTTTTAATTGATTAGTCTAGCTAGCGAGTGCCAACAGCACTCTCCACTGAAGCACTGAAGTTCAGCCAGACTACTTTGCTAGTATTAGTGAACACCTGCTAATAAAAGTTTTAGCGTGCTGTTTTTGGCCAAGTGAGCGTCCCAATTGCTCTACGGTGATCCAAAGCACTGGGCTTGGAGAGCCACAGTGTGTTGCCTCAGAAACCTCCAGGTTATGGGTCAGCAGGACCTGTGGAATGCCCGGCTTGGGTTTCCGGCTATTGTGCTCGGCCAGCACACTGGAGGTGAATAGCCTGACATTCCTCTGATGCCCCTCCCCCCACACACATGCTTGTGCCACGCTCAAATTCTCCGTTTTATGCTGGAGTGACATCCCCACAGAAAACAGGCATGAAGTGTGGAGGTCCAACATCATACTGTTTTCCTTGTGATTGTCCGTTGACTGACAGTTGGATTCTCTATTTGATTTTCCAGGCAGACTAAGCCGCTGACTTTTGCAGACTGTATTGGAGATGAGCTGCCTGTGGGATGGGAGGAAGCCTACGACCCCCACGTTGGAGCCTATTATGTCGACCACAATACCAGTAAGTTGAGCAAAATTCAGCCCACCTCACGAATGCACAGGAGTATATAAAGTGTCTTATATGGGATTCTGTGGGTTTAAACAGATTAAGTGTCATATTTAATTTGACACAAATGAAAACAAGGCTTTGAGAGACAAAACAGAATTCATTCAGTGGCCTTCATTCATGAAAAATGACTAGAACAAATTTCTTTGTAAATAATTTGTTACAAATGCCCAGTATATGTGGACACACCGATCTAAAAGTGTTGTTTTAGTATTATTTTTTACACAATTATAGAATTCATTAATATTTTGAATTAGCTTTTTTTAAATATATTTTCAGTTTAAATTTTTGTTGAAGTTTTAATAATTTTATGTGATTTATGTATTTTATCATTTTTATTTTTTAAGTTTCTATTTAGGTTTATTTAGTTTTAGTAGTTTACCTCAATTTAAGTTTATTTTATTACAGCTAATTGCCAAGAGAACATTTCTAATTTCTCTTAGAAATTTCTAGTTTTTCATCTAATATTTATTGTTTATTTCAGCTTCATTTCATTTATTGAAAATGATTGTTAATGGTTTTAGTTAACAACAATGCAACTGATGAGCACAGTTTTTTTGCTGCTTAATATTTTTGAGGAAACTGTGATACGTTTTTTTTCAGGATTCTTTGATGAAAAGAAAGTTAAAAAGAACAGCATTTATTTGAAATAGAAATCTAAACAGCAAAAACTGTTTTCAACATTAATAATAATAAATGTTTCTTGAGCATCAAATCAGCATGTTGGAATAATTTCTGTGTAATGGCTGCTGAAAATTCAGCTTTTCCATCACAGAAATAAATTACACTTAAAAATTAAAACATTGCATTACTGTTATTACTGTATTTTTGATCAGATAAATGCTGTCTTGGTGAGCATAAGCGACTTATTTTAAAAACATAACAAAAATTTGGACAGTAGTGTATTTATAAGTCGAATTACATAAAAAAAATGTAAACTTCATTGAAAAATCATGATTCCAAACTTTTGACCGGTAGTGTATGTATTTCACTAATTTAAGATATTTTTATCTCTCCTTCCCACAGAGAGCACCCAGTTGGAGGATCCGCGGGCTCAGTGGCAGCGGGAGCAGGAGCTCATGTTGCGGGATTATCTGAACGTGGTTCAGGAAGCATTGAGTGCCCAAAAGGAGATCTACCAGGTCAAAGAACAGCGACTTCACCTGGCCCAGCAGGAATATCGGCAGCTAAATGATGCTTGGCGGGACAAGTCGTCCTCACAGACTAGCTGTAAGACTTGTGACTCTGTACCTGTGTCTGTCACTTAAAGATTGTTCATATTTCTGAGCTATTTGACACTGATTCTTGAGACATGGGATAAAACAGGCTATAAACAAGTTTGTGTATTAAGGAAAACTAATTCGGATTAATCTGTTCAACATTTTTAGAATTATTCTCCTTTCACGTTGTCATAAAATTTGTCACGCACTATAGGTCAACAATGTGAAAAATAAAAATGAATAAATATTACAAATATAGACGAATCATATAAATGTTTCTATATTATGTCTGTAGTCTATATTTTATATATGTTTTATAAGTTTATATTTTTAAACCTTCTAGGACATGGTAGTAATGTTTATTTAAAAAACACATAATATATCTGTTAATCTTATTTTAAATTTTTTTCACGATCTGTCAAGTTATAGTCTGAGAACTGTGTCACAATTTTGATAACATAAAGAGAAAATCAAGTGTGAAGATTAAACATGTTTTGTCCTATGTCACAAGAATCAAAGACAAGTCATAATTGAAACCAAATCATCTGTAAAGATAAGATGGTGAGAGCTGCATGCTTTGTTGATGAGGTTGGAGTCTTGAATTCACTTTAAAATATTTGTGCAGTGACCTCACTCTTTTGCAAGCAAATTTTGTTTTTATTTTAAATGAAAGGCTATTATAATGGATATAGATTTATGACACAGTCTGTAGCATTATTATAAATCGCTATGGAATTCCAGAGCTGTGCCGAGTGGTTTTACAGATAAGATAAAGCCTTTGAACTCTTATCTTTCTACAGTAAATTCCAGGTCCTCATCAAGCAGTAAATATGACCCTGAGATCCTCAAAGCGGAGATTGTTACAGCAAAAAGCCGGGTAATACTCTCTTGTTTATGTAAGACACAAATTGGGTGTAATCTTTGCGGCACTCTGTACATCATGGATTTCAAATGTGATGACAAGAAGCGAGATTACACTTAAAGCTATATGTAAGATGTCTTGTAATTATGCAATTGTCTCATTCATTCACCTGCTCACTTTCTCTCTGTTGCTGTCTTTTGTTCAGGTAAATAAGCTGAAGAGAGATTTGGCCTGTATGAGGCAAGAACTCCTTTATAAGGAGCAAGGCTTTGAGACGTTGAAAGAGTAAGTGTAACCTGACCTTATTGCATGATCACGTTCCAGACAACTGATTGCTTCCTTGTTTAAACTTATTCCAATCTGAAACCACCGTGTCTTTGTGCAAGACAAAAATAGATCATCTTATCTTTTGGCATTTTATTAGCCCATTGGCACTTTATTGTGATGGAGCACTTTCACATTTGGTTTGTTTGTGGTTGATATTTGTACTATTTTTCAGAACATCAGGCACCTCAGTGTGAAGTAGGGTTGTGACGGTGAAGAAATTTTCCCACTGGTTAATCGATGTGTGACAACACCGATAATATCACCATGGGGGCAGGGGCATTCCCTCTTTTCCTCGCTTTCCTTCGCTTTTAAATAGCTTGCAAAAGCGACGTGCGCATTTTAATTTCACTTTCAAATAGCGGCAAGTCGGTTTGTTTGAATTATCCCTCTTTTCCTCGCTTTCCTTTGCTTTTAAATAGCTTAAAAGCACTATGCGCATTTTATTTATCGAATTAGCAGCAATTCGGCGGCAATTGCTTGAATGCAACAACAAAATATAACATCAAACACACTTTAGCCTATATATAAAACATAGAACTTTTATTAACAAAACGAATAAAAATACACCATGCTATAGGGCAGGCTATGCCTAATATAAAATAACAAATAACTTATATAGTTTAAATAGGTATACAAAACTGGAAATAAGTAAACATGTATAATATATAACCAAATAAATAAAAAACGTAGAAAGTTTATTAGCAAAACGAATAAGAAAGCTTGGAGGCACGGCATACACCTTGATGCCAAATAAAATAAATGACACAAAGTTTAAATAAAGTAAAAATCAGCAAACACTGTGGAAACAATTAAATAAGAAACAAATGTTTAAAAAAACTTCCAAAATCACCTTAGATAAACGGCAAAAGTCAACAGGCATTTCAAAATCCAAGATACTGCCAAACAGGTGCTTTTGCATTTAGTTTCGAAACTAAATCATCCACGATCGTCTTGTCTGTCTCACCTCACTCTTCTTGTCAGTCAGCTCTCCTCACTCTCCTCACTGGATAAATGAAGTCTGATCTGTGATGCAACTGTCGTTGGCACGCTGCATTGAGCCGCCGCGTTCAGTTTTTAATAGTGTCTGTTCTTTTACAGAACTAAATGATTTTTATTACTATAAAAAAATAAAAACTACGGTGGGGGTCGGTGCCGCGGTGGGCAAGTGACGTAACCGGTGTTGCGGCTTAACAACGATATCACCGTCTGCACCGTCTAACGTGGCAAGCCTAGTGTGAAGCTATTCATATTTTATATTATTTCATGTTTGATGGATTGTCTTAACAGTTAGTTGACTAGTCTGGTGATTATAAACCGGTGATTCTTAAATTTGTTTCTGATTTTGATTCGATTTTAATTAATTTGGATACATTTAATTTAGAATGAGTTTGATCTCAGCTAATGCTGTAAAATTTCCAGGGCAGTGTTATAGACCAGTGTTATTTCCAAGGGGGCCCTCAGCATAACTAAAAAAAACAACAGCAGCATAAAATCAAGAAATATTTTCCCTCTCAATTATCTTTTTTTTTTTTTACTTCTGAAATCACAAAATTAATCATGGTTACTTAATTCAAAATATCAGTAATTACGTCCTTTTGCTGTAAATAAAACATTTGAAACAAGCAGTTTCAAACGTTCATAATTATGGAAGAACTACTGAAAATATCTTCTTTGCCTATATGCACTCTCAGATAAAAAAAACGTACAAAAGCTTTGAATCTAAAAAAGTTGAGAACCAATGTTTTAGACTGATTTAAACTCATCTTTTTGAATAAGTCCTTTAAAAGAACCAAGTTTTGTTCTTGTTTACAATCTTGGGGTTTTAAAAGTTGATATCGTGGTCATTCAAATGAAGATCTGAAAAACAATTCTGTTCTGGGCTGTTGACAGCATGGAAAAACAAAAGTATAATGCAAATAATAACATTTTTACTTGCTATATATCTTTGGTTGTTTTTGTCAAAGGCTGTCCATTTTTTGGAACTGTTTTGGCTCAAATCTCATATTTTGACTTTTGTGACAATTTTACCATACTGACTGTTACTCATAAGTGCACATTAGCAAAAATTTCTGTGAAATATTCACAGCGAAAAAAAAAACTTTTTTTTTTTGTTAACGGTGTTGTGATTTACAAAGCAGAGTTTACATACAGATCAACTTCAAACCAAGCTGCTTTCTGCTGGGCAATTATCTGCATGACCAACGTGAAACTGAATCTCCGAACCTTCATTCGGAAATCGTTCACCACACACAAAATTCCTGATTGCATGGATTCCTATTCCTATGACTGGATTTCAGCCCCAGAAATTCGCTGAACAATGGTAATTTTGACCGTACCTTTTGTGAGCTCTGTGAATCAGGAATCCAGAAAAAATAACCTAAATAAACATGTCAAATAATAGACCAGTCCGTTACTGAATCACTAGTCGACCCTTCTTACTACCCCTGCTTCATATCAGGAACGGATTGGGCTCTTTTTGTATGGGAAAGGGTGTTGAGATGCTGGGTTGATTCCTGTTGACTGACTCCCTCTCGATCTCTTGCCCAGAGGAATGTGGACTAACCTGTTACTCATGTCTGCACATGACTTACCGATGACTCTCTTTACATGCACACTTCTGCTAAACAGACCCCCCCCCCCCCCCCCTTTCAGAAATTTAAAAAAAAAAAAAA